GAGCGCAGCCTGGAATCCTACCTGAACTCCTAGACATGCGTGGAGTGGATCTGACTAATGCTCTGGAGGGTTCCTGGCCCATGGCTGGGTACATGCGTCTGTCTCCTGAGGTGCCGCCACCGCCCTCGGGTAGAGGCTATTAACCTTTGTTCTACAACCAAGGAAGCCCAGGCTCAGACCACGAGACCCATTTGTCTGAGGCCAATGCAGCAATCTCTGGGGAGAGGCCAATGTGCCTGCTTTCAAAGCAGTTCTGTCACCACAGGCCCCAGCTGGTTTCCTTCTGCCCAAGGAAGGGTGTATTTATTTGGCTTCTGATAAGCATTCACTCCTGGTGTGAGGCTTTGCTCAAAGTGATCCCGTAGCCCAGACAGCAATGGGTGGCTTCCTCAGGAAAAGCTGGCTTCCTTGGGAAATGACTTGTTTCTTGGGGGTTTTGGCCATTCTGACTTTTGGCTGAACTGGCACCTGGGACATGGAGCTCAGTGACCCAGTGGACCTTCCTGTCTATCCCAGGATGGCACACTCTGGGCACCTGCTCCCCATGTCAGTTGCCTACCGCCCCACCCCCAACCCGGGTCTGGCCAGCCCTTAGCTTACCTTCTCAAGGCCGGTCTTGTTGTGTCATTCCAACCTGCTGCTGGTGGCTGGTTTCCCGCCTCTCCGTGGGGAGGGCATTTCAGGCTCCATGATCAGAGGTCCTGCATGGGGGCTTTCCTGCAGGCCATTCCTTTCCAGGAGGGGTTCAGAAGCTGCAAGAACATCTGCCCATAGCCCTATCTTGAGGTGAGCTTCCACAGAGGGCCCCCAGTTGGGTGGGGAGGTGTCAGGGACAAGAATGGAGGTGTGGGTAGTATGTTCCTGCTTTTTAGAGTGGGGCGTGTGTGCTCCTGGATGGGGGGAGGGGTGTCACTAACTTGGCCATGGAGAGCTGCCATTTTAAGCAGAGCCCGATTTGCTGGCATGAATTGTTTCAAAAGAAGCCATGTAGGCGGGGCCGGGGCACCTGGGCGGCTCAGGGGGTTAAGCCTCTGCCTTCAGCTCAGGTCATGGTCCCAGGGTCCTGGGATGGAGCCGTGCATCCGGCTGTCTGCTCAGCAGGGACCCTGCTTCCTCCTCTCTCTCTCTGCCTCTCTTCCAGCTTGTGATCTCTGTCTGTTAAATAAAAATAAAATCTTTAAAAAAAAAATTAAAAAAATAAAAAAGACGCCGCCGCCATGTAGGGAAAAAAAAAAAATCCCAGACTATATTTCCTCTCATTGTGGCCCCTGCCACCCCAAGCCCTCTGTCATCAGCACAAATTCCAGTCCCTCACTGGTTCCCATGGGTATTTCCAATGACTCCCAGTATTTTTGTTATCCGGGAAGGCACCATGATGCCACCGAAGGCCAACTTGGGAGCATTAGTTCCCCTTGCCCCCCATATATTCATCGATCTCCCTACACCATCCCAAACAAACACTGTACTTTCTCTGCAAGCAGGGTGTCCAGGAAGTACCTGTCAGACTTTAGGGTGCATGTCTATTACCTGGGGGGCTTGTTGAAATGTAGATTCAGATTCATCATCTGGAGTGGGGCTCCAAGAACCTGCATTTCTAGCAAGTGTCCCAGTGATGCCAGTGGTGCTCCTGGGGAAACCACATTCTGGGTTCGGAAGCTCCAGGGAACCCCACCTCTGCCTCCCACCAGCCAGCTCAACCCGTCCTTCTGAAGCCCCCACTGTGAGAGAGTCTGGTGGGGGGAGAGGGAAAGGAGATTTGCTTGTGTCCTCTCCTTAGCCAATGCTTCTTGCTTTTTCATATCCCTCTTCCCTCTGCACTGCATTATAATTCTCTCTTTTCTATCTCCTTTGTTCTCCTCTCTCTAGCTTTCTCCCAAGGGCCCACCGATATAGCTAGGACACATAAGACCAAGAGGCTGTGGGGATTTTGTTCTGTTTTAGTATAATGTGATTCCCCCGTGAAGGCTGAAATTATCTCCCTTAATCCCCATGCTTCTTTTTATCCCTGGCCACTGTCTACTTGACGCTTCTGGTGTAATCCCTGATGTTATCCTGTGGTTAGGGGGAGAGGGAGCGTGGGGCAGAGGAGCCGGGGGCCTTGAGTGTCTCTCTGTCTCTGTCTCTGAATCTCTCTGTCTCTCTCTCTCTCTCTCTCACACACATACACACACACACATACAACCTCTGGGCTCTGCCAGCAACAGCCAAGAGTCATGTTCCTTTCTGGGCCTTGGTTTCCTCAAGCATACGCAATGGGGTTGAGCTGGCCAAGAGTGGAAGTTTCCCCCACCTCAAACCTTTGAATTTAATAAATCAACCAGCGTATTTTAGGTTCTCCCTCCAAAATCTAAAGCCTTAACTTTCTATCCAAAAACTCTATCCCCTTCTTCTGTGTGTCTTCAGAGTGATCATTCACCTTCTCTGGGCCTTGGTGTCCTGATCTACAAGTTGGGAGGTAATGAGAGTCAGCTGATCTGGGCAAGTTAGGACCTAAAGAGAGTCTTGGTTGTAAAGGTACCTAGTTTAGTTCTCGGCAAAGTTAGTTTCTTAGTCAGCTCGGGCTGTCACAACAAAATCTAAGATAAAGGTGTTGGCAGGTTTGGGTTTTGGTGAGGATCCTCTTTCTGTCTCGCAAAGGGCCACTTCATTGTGCGTGCTCACATGACTTCCTTTTTGTGCGTGGCTGGAGGGAGAGAGCCAGAGAGGGCTGTGGCCCCTTCCTTTTCTTGTGAGGACAATAATCCTATTATGGGAGCTCTGCCCTCATGATCTCATCAAAACTCAATGACTTTCCAGAGACCCCACCACCACATTGGGGGTTAGGGCTTCAACATCTGAATTCTGGGTGGGGGGGGGGAGGGGCCGGAAGGGGCGGAGACAAACTTTTAGTCCACCACAATAAGGATTAGTCAATAACGTTGAATTGGTTGGTTCATCCGGGAAGAATGACAGGTGGCCTGCTGCATTTTAAGGAACCCCGAAATTGTACTGCAGAAGTGTTGGGGGGGATCAGAGATGGACCCTGGTCCTTCAGTCAGCTGGCATAGAGATTTTAGGTGAAAGGATGGGAGGTAGTAGCTAAGAAGGAGGTGAGGGAGAGCAGATCCTAGGATGGAAAAAGAAATAAAGAAGAGGGGTGGAAGTGGGAAGTGGGGAATGGGGAGATCACGCCTGGAATCTCAAAGTGACTCTTGATGATTTGGCATTGGCTGAAGGGCCCAGAACATTTCCTGGCCCTTCCACACTGAGAATGGATGTCTGCTGGGAGATAGCAGCAAGGGGGTAAGGGTTTGGGAGCGTCTGTGACTGATTCAGGAGCTTTGAATGGCAGAGATGTCTGGGATTTCCGATGGGGTGGGGCTGACGGTGAGGAAGCTGAGAGATAACCCCCTTGACCCTTTCAGAGTTTTCACCACTCTGGCGGCGAGGTTGGGAAGTGCTGAGGGGGTGTGCAGAGGAGGGCAGCCGTTCTAACAAGGGATTCCATTCCGAGAGCCCTGGTTGAGGGGTACGAGGGGCAGCGAAGACACTCTGGGTTAGTGTCCTGACAACATTTGCAAGGGGTTGGAATTGGGTACCCTCATTCGTGTCATTTTTGTTAAGATTTCAAGAGTCTATCTAGGTGTCATTTTTAAATCTGTTGAAAAAAATATGACCAGCATGCTGATCACTGGTCAGTTACCTGAGACTACCCTATCTTTGCTCCTGCCGAGTTAGTGTCCTGGGCAAGTCATGAAAAACATATTTGAGATTGAGCTACTTCATCTGGAAATGAAGGCTGACGTTTGTGGTCCCGGTGGGCACTTTCACTTCAGTATTAGACGCTTCCCGACATTGCTCATGAAAATAAAGTAATATTGGTAACGTTTTTTGCCCAGTACCTGGTCTCTGTTCTTCATGTTTGTAGGGGGAGGGGAGAATGGGGAGGATAATTCCCCATCCCTTTTAGGGAGTTTTCATGTAGCTTTTCTTCAGGCATTATTGACCTCAAGGAAATCTCCTGGAAAGAAAGGGTGCACACCTCTGAGACACCTATTAAAATCCCAAAAGTCTTTCTAGGGACCCATTTTGAGTGGTTGCTTTGGGTTAGTTGGTGCAGTGCTCGGCGAGCTGACTCTCTCAAGGGCTCCAAGTGACCAAATGTGACCAGTGAGTTGGTTTTTACAAAAGGCGGCCTGAAGGAGAAGCTTGTGACTGTCTGTCGCCAGGTTCCACCGTCCCTCAGGGCCCGCCAAGATGCCGGTCCCTGCCTGGCCAGCAGGCGGCGTGCACGCGCCGTCAGGCCCGGAGGAGAGGCGGGCCTCGCCCCCCCACCCCCGGTCTCCAGGCCGGAACGTGCGCGTGCCCGATGCCAGGGTCGCGCACGCCGGGACTGGGGAGCCATTTCCGGGCGGGGAGGGGCGGGTCCGCCGGCGGTCGGCCCTCCAATCTCGGCGGCGGCGGCGGCGGCGGCGGCTGCAGGGGGAGCCCGCGCTCCACCGCCGGCAAGTCGTTCGCGTGGTGAGGAGGAGCCGGGCCGGCGAGAGGGAGAGGCTGAGGGAAGGAACGGGGCGGCGGACTCGGGGCAGGAGAGTGCAGGGGGCCGCTGCGGCTCCGGAAAAGGGAGGGTCGGGCTGGCGCGGACCGCTCCAGGGTGGGCAGGGTAGGGGCGTGAAGAGGAGGAAGGAGGGCCTGGCGGACCGAGGGGTGCGGGCTGAGTGTGGGCGTGCCGAGCCCTAGTTCTGAGGGAGCTGGGGGGGGCGAGAGGGAGCCCCCGTCCCGCGGAGGTGGGAGCGGACCGGGGCCGCCGGGATCTGGTGATCCTTAGAGAGGAAGGGCTCCGGGCTGGGAGCGATGGAGTCGGCGGCGAGGCCAGTGGGGCTCGGGAGGCTGGAAGCTGGGCTGGGCTGGGCTGGGCTGAGCTGAGCTGAGCTGAGCTGAGCTGAGCTGCCGGCGGCGTCCGACCCTCCTCCCTGCTGCGCTGGTGGGCTGGGCTCCCGGGCCCCGGGCCGGGTCGGGGGCGGGCTGGGCGTTTCCCCGGGTGTCTACCTGGGGGGCTCGCTGGGTGGGAGGCTGGGTCTGGATTCGTTCGGTCAGCTGTGGGAGGGAAGCACAGTGCCAGCAGGGTTGTGATTCGCTGGCTTGGGTGCTGGGGGGGTGGAGTGTCCTAGCTGCGAGTGAAATCGGAGCTCTCAAAGGAGGGAGAGAACCATTTCTTGACTGCTCCTGCGAGTCTAGGCGGGCCGAGGCGACAGTTTAAAGCTTGAGAAGTAAACAAACCTGGTTCCCTTTTGCAGAGGGGAGGCGCCCAGAGGAGGGCTGGGGGAGGAAGATGCCGAGTACGGACCTTCTGATGTTGGTGAGTCTTTTCCCAAACATCCTCCTTGTTATAAGGCACTTGTCCCTTAAGTTTTATTTTTAGTCGAAAGGATCTGAGTGTGTGGATCTCGCTCTTGATGCTTGCTTTTGGTAGCTGAGCATTTCTGCTCCCCTTTTAGTTCGGGTGTGCTGGTTGGGATGGATAAATGCCTGATTTACATATACGAATATGTTTGTATTTAATGAATACGAAGACTCTTTTACAGAATTCTTGTAGTTGATTTTAATCTCTCCCTTTCCATACTCCCAGAACGGTTTTAAAACCTGTATTCAGTTTTGCCGGCGTCTGCCGTGTACTCGTTGATAAGCGCTTGTCTCTCAGAGGAGACTTAAGATTCCTCAGAAAACAGATAATCATGTCTTACATGTTTAAAGATGAATAAACAGCTGTCATAGTGCTCTGTCTATAGTAAGTGCTTAACACATGCTTGTCGAGTTAAACTAATTTGAATTTTAAGTTTTTCTGTTGGGCTGAGGAATATCCCTGCTTTGGTAGAGTCTGTTTTTTCCTCTAGAGATTTCTGTGCCTCTTTCTCCCCACCCCACCCCCACCCCTCCCCAGCAGGGAGAATAGCATTGCAAAACTAGTGTTTTCCCAAAATGAGCTTTTATTCTTGGGACATTTATGATTCCATAGGCTCTTTTTTGGGGGTATTGTGGGGAGCCCGTGGCTTTCTAATAGCTATCTCGAAAAACAGCATTTTGTTTTTAATAAGCTACTTCTCTGAGTCTGATGTGTCTTTGTGCAAAAACACTGATTTCAGAACAATTCATCTCCCTCTCTTTATATCACTCTCCCAGAGAGCTGAGAGCTGTCACTGGGAAATGGGCAAAAAAAAAAAAAAAAAAAAAAAAAAAAAAAACCTAGCAGTGAGGTGTTTTTGTTTTTGTTTTTTAAATACCCAGTGCTGACTTTCTATAGTGGCAAAATCTATAAGGTCTGTGGGAGGGATAAAGAAGGAAATTAAGTGCTGGTGAGTGCTGGTTTGAGGCAGAGACCAAGGATGGTTTTAGAGACCGAGGTAAATACTTGGCTAATTCAAAGATCCTGATAAAGAGTTCGCTTAAAGTAGCTTCTTGCTTTAAATTTCATGGATTGTCAGTAGATAATCCTTATTTATTATGCGATTTTAAATTCTTATCGCAGGAGCCATGTATTAGAAAAATTGGGAGCTCTACATAAGCAAAAGGAAGCAACCCCCCAATGATGACACTACTCAGAAATAAACACCTTAGAGGGTTAATGCAGAATGGTTTGTAACGATTGGCCGTTTGTTTTTTCCCCTTACAGACAGATCAGTATGTTGATGGAAATTAAGATTTCCTTGTGTAAGTAGGCTGCACCTTCGTGGCCAGAGATGAGCTTGTGACTTCTTGGGCCCGTGCGCTCTCTTGAAAGGTGTAGCCAGTCAGGACTTTTTTATTCAGGATGTTAACTTGGGCATCCGTTTTGTTTTGAAGCCTTTCTCTGGCCACCACCATTTCCTCATTTGATAAGCTAGAGTATCGAGGGTGTTCATTTGCTTGTTGGTGTAAGGAATGCATTCACACGGACAGTGACTGGCTCTCGAGAATCCTAACTCTCTGAGGATACTGCACATGTTTCTTGTGTGCTTTCTCTGGGAAAGCTGTCATTCCTTCTTTTTTTTTTTTTTTTTTTTTTTAAAGATTTTATTTATTTATTTGTCAGAGAGAGAGAGGGAGAGAGAGCGAGCACAGGCAGACAGAATGGCAGGCAGAGGCAGAGGGAGAAGCAGGCTCCCTGACGAGCGAGGAGCCCGATGTGGGACTCGATCCCAGGACGCTGGGATCATGACCTGAGCCGAAGGCAGCTGCTTAACCAACTGAGCCACCCAGGCGTCCCTGTCATTCCTTCTTTGCCTGTGCTGTGTTCTTGAGGCCAAATGGTAAAGCACCAGTGGCCAGGGCCGGGTTCTTGATGAGGGCAGTAAACGGTCATTATCTGCATTCTTTAGCTACTTTGTGTGAAGTGGAAGATGTTCTGGGCCCTCTAACGGGGAAGAAAGGACCCCAGGTAATAAAATGAAAAAATATCCTCCATTCCAGGCAGCCTGTTGTAGAGCCGCAGAAGTAGAAGCAATCTTGGAGGCCGCGTGATGCGACTTCTCACTTAGATTGTATATGAATCCTTTTTAGAGCATCTCTGATGAATGGATAGCCCGTCATCCATCCTTTCTGCTGGGGGAATAAGATGGGCATAAGCTGGTTCGCAATCCAAGGTGGACCCAGGAATAATAACGTACGGCTGGTAGCTAACATTTATTGAGCATGTCTTACATATAAGGTGCGGAAACAGATACTCTCCATGTTCGTTGAATTTTCACGAAAACCCTTTGAAAAATATGCTGGCATCCTCCTCTTGTAGGTGAAAAACCAGGCTCAGGGAAGGTGCTGCCGCCGTGAGCTGGCGGAGCCCCATTTGAACTCCAGCTAGTCTAACGTCAAATCCTTCCTTCTGTTCTGCTTTTTTTTTTTTTTTTAAGATTTTATTTATTTATTTGATAGAAGACACAGCAAGAGAGGGAACACAAGCAGGGGGAGCGGGAGAGGGAGAAGCAGGCTTCCCGCCGAGCAGGGAGCCCGATGTAGGGCTTGATCCCAGGACCCTGGGATCATGACTTGAGCCAAAGGCAGACACCTAACCACTGAGCCACCCAGGCACCCCCTGTTCTGCTTTGTGATGCTGCCTCGGACCACACTGCGCACAGGGACAGAGGTTGCTGAGCTCTTCGAGTGATGGGACAGGGGTTCGTGTGGGGTAGGGGGGCAGCATAGCTCTGTCCCCTGAGGGGGGCACTTTGGAAACCCATGTGGGGGTGCTTTTGTTTTCTAGTATGGTCCTGTCTGAAAATACATGCTACGTGATACAGATCTTCTGATTTATCTTCTCCTACCTTGGCAGTTAGGGCATTATGCCGATTTTTAAAAGTTACACTCGCACAGGTAGTCTTTGAATTCCGTTTCAGAACCATAAAAGGGGCATACGAAATATTTGTTCTAACAAGAGGGCGGCAGGTTTGATAGTGTTGCTAACTGCTTATGTGGACAGTATCCCGTGGCACGAAAGCATGATGATGAACCAGAGTCCGGAGCTGATAAGACTGGTCCTGCTCCATACTGCAGGGCTGTGGCCGTCGGTCTGCCGTGCCTTCCTGGCCTACACTTTGCCCTCGTTTGATAAGGATGGTTTGCCCGAGTTTTTCCGTTTGCTCATTTATGTCATGAACTGTAGTACTTTCCACCTGTGTTTCGAAGAGAATGAAAGGGGTGAGGGTATTCATCTGAGACTCGCGATGTTTTCAGAAGGATTTCAAATCCGGATTTTTTTTTTTCTTTTTTTTTTTTAATAGCAGTTTCTCTCCACTTTGCCCACATTCTTTTCACCCATGTTCTCCTCCTCCCTGGTGCTAGGGTATGGTGTCTCTTTGTAAGTTGTCAAATACTTAGAGCTTTTAAGAAAAGAGTAAGTCTGCTCCTTTGGGTGGCTTTTTTCTCATCCGGTGACTCATTCACGCCAGGGCAGTGCTGGGTGGAGGTGGAGTGCTAGTTTATCTGGGGCCAAGGTTCTCGGCATTCGGCAATGTCTGGAGGCATTTTTGCTTTTCCTACTGAGTGCTAGAGGTCAGGAATGCAGCTACAGGCCCTACTTTGCACACAGCACTCCACCACCAAGAACAATGCGGCCTAAAATGTCGGTAATGCTTGGGTTGAGAAACCCTGGTCTAGGGTTCCTTAACACAGGTAATAGTGTCTGTGTAGCCCTGGCATTCATGTGGGTGAGAGATGGGGCCTTTTCTTAGAGTTCAGTGGGTCTGTTCAAGTGCTCCTTCGGGTTATTTTGTCTATGGACCAAGTCCTGGTTTGGAATGTCTGTATTGGACTGTATACAGCACAGTCTTCTGTAATACAGTAAAATCTTGAGAAACGCTTTCCTTCACAACGTTTCTGAAGCACTCTTGATTTGGAAACAGTAAGCCTGTCTTGGTTTTGTTTTTTGGGTTCAAAATGGAATCTTTCCAGATCCCAGAGCTTTTATCTTTTGAGCCTTGAATCTCTCTCAGGCATGCTTTCTTTCTGAATGTCAGGTCGGATTTGAGCCATAAGCCAAAAGATTGACTTTGAATCTGGTGTCTTGTTTGTAGGATTGTCTAGGGAAAATTCATTAGGGCTGGTAGGACCTTTAAAATTTTGTTGACCATTTGAATGGCCCTTGTAAGATGAGCACCATGTTTGGCACTGTTCCAGTCTTACTGGTAAAGCAAAACTACAATAACAAGTTCGATAATTCCTCCAGCCATTGGTCTAAAGGAAGGGTGATAAATAATAGATAAATGCCAAATCCCAGTATTTGGCTTGGCTTTGCAGTCTGTGTGTCAGGAATTTTTAGTGCTGTTTGCTTTCTTAATTAGGCTCCTCCCCAACATACAGTTTGTACACATTGGTGGCAAACCTGGGAATCATTTTGGGATTAAGAGTTTTCCATAGGGAATTGATTTAGAGTGACTCAGTCCGTATGTAGAAACGTATAGAACATAACTACTGAGAGGAAAACCATGCTGGGGGTAAGGGGAAACAGGCGTCTGGGAAGATGGAATGATGCAGGCTGAGGAGGGGGTTGGCTATATCTGCTATCTCCTGGCACCCTCCGGTACTGTGAATGAGAGGAAAGGAAAGGACTGTTTACAAAGCCGGGCAGAGTTAAGGAGACCCATAGGGGTTGGTGAAACGCCTCAGGGTTAAGAGTCATCATCATTCTTAGACCTGAGTGGGCAAAGAGAGAGTAGCTTCTGGAACCTTGAAAGTTTAGCTGGAGGAGAGGGTAACCTGTAGGAATGCTGCTACTGCCAACCGGTACCGTAGCAGGAAGGGAATCGGGGAATACATACCTCAGACCCTTCCTTTTCCCACCCTCTAATCTCACGGTGGAGCCTTTCCTCAGCCAAACCCAGCTGGAAACCA